TTTTTTTTTTTGAGGCTTTAAAAGCTTTGACAACTTGCTCAATTTGCTGATTACAGCCCAAAATTGTTTCTGTCTTTCCACACAGTCTCTTCTGTTTATTACTCTAAATGTCATTAATTTGGTTCTGTAATTATACCTTATCATGCAATAAAATTCTTTCATTAGTCTACTTTAATACAACATCAATCTTAAAAAAAATTCTTTTTTTGTATTTTGTTTAACCCATACCTAACGTAACAGTTGGAAAAATTACAGGATAGTACAGCCAGGTATAAACAAAAACCTGTTTTAGAATTTTTGCCGCAATGAATAAACTAATGTTGTTTGAGAAAAAAATGACTAGTAAATCGATACAGTAATTTGTAATCACCATATAAGTCAAACTTATCATTCATACTACTAACTAAGCGATTCTCTAAAAAAAAAAAACTTTTTCAACGAATTGCAGTTCAAACAATTTTACGGCAAACTCAATATGTCATCAAAGTCAACAGTTCTGTAAGCACATCAGCAGACTTTTTTCGCATGCATTTTGACCAAAAAAAAAAAAAAAAAAGTGAACAATCGACCTTTTCCTTTTTTACTCGTAGCAAGGAAAAGGTAATGTTACAACAACCAGCTGAGAAGCTGTGAAGTGTCTAAGAAAATCGTTTGTGAAAAAACAGTAGCTCCAAGTATTTGTTAATGAAATAAGTTTTAGAAAAAGACAAAAAAAAAAACTGGGTGAGTTTTTTTTTTTTTTGTTTTTGCTATTACATTTTGCTTGTTCTTTAAAAGTTGTTAATAAACTATTAAAGTTTAAGATCAACAGATTTTAACAGAAAATTTAAAGCTTAATTTTTCTGAAACTTTGCGTATTACTAGTAATTTTGAATTGATAAAATATTTTTTGAGTAGAACAACCAATGTATCGAAACACAATCGACCCACCAGTGTTTTTAAAAAAAAAAATTGATTTTCTATAATAAGCAGTGACAAAATATGTTGTACAGCAATAAAGATAAAACATCAATGATTACAGTTGGGTATCGGACAAGTAGTTACTAACAATACTTTAAGTACAAGTTTACTTGCTAATTCCTGTTTAGATGTAGTTTAAGAAATGAGCTATAGTATGTACATAGATTTTTATCTTACAACTGTTTAAAAAAAAATTTTCATGATCAGATAATGAAGCAGCAACAACGTTAAACTATAGTTTGTCAATTTTTTTTCGGCATCAACTTATAAAAAAAGAATACTCCGGAAGTACAGACGAACTTAAAATCTGGTCAGTTTTCAAGTTCCCATTCTTTGAGTTGTTACCAATGGTTACCAAATAAATGTCAGCATACCGCATTAATAAAGTAAGTAACCAATACCGTAAAATTAGCTTTCAAAAGAATTGAGGCAGTTTGAGTAAATAAAACTTCAAAAACTGTCTGTTCATCCGCACTTTTGCAAGTTTTAAATTTGTTATTTGGTCAAAAATTTCTTTTAAACCTGATAGAATAAAATTGATCAAGCACTGATAACATTTTGCAAAACACTGTTCAAAACAAAGGTGAGAATTATTGGTCATAGTTGCTATAATTGCCTAACCATCCCATTTTTTGTTTTGATTTTTATCGGTCATTTTTATCACTTATTGTAAATCACCTAATCTTGAAGCAATATTGAGATCAAATTTGAAAAACTGTCATCCACTACTCTGAAAGCACTTTCATAGCTAAGATTTTTTCTTGGTTGTAGTTTCAAAAATTCCTAAAACAGTAGTTTTTCTTCATACAAATAGCGTCTTCTAAAATTTGTTTAGACTTAAAATTAAGATTGAAGTAGGTGGCAACGTTTAGATAAAAACGTGCCTCTGTCAGTATGGCAGCAATGTGTCCTAAAAGACTGATGTCATGTCGCAGTTTAAAAACACTTATTTGGTAGTTTCCTTTCTTTGATCAAGTACTACTATCAAAAAAAAATTTTTTTAAAAACTTTTTTAAGTTAAAAAATGAAAGCCAGAATGCGTTTTGAAACAATCTAAAAATATGCTTCAAAAATTTAAACAATGAATGTGCGTCAATCAGATTTCTGTTACAAAAAAAGGAGAATTTGCTAAAAAGTCGTATGTTATTGCACCTTTTGAAATGTTTATTTAAAGTAAAGCTTTTTAACACACTTTTTACAAAATTTATCAACATTTATTCAACCAAAAGTGTGAAAAAAGTTTACGTTTCTGCAAGTGATAAATAGATAAGTGATAACTTGTAAAAAACGTACTTTAAATTAGTTTAATATAAGCATTTATCAAAATTGGGAGATTTTTTTAAGCTTCAATTTTTATAAAGATAGTAGAAGTGGATTAGAGAGTTTTAAGGAAACAGATAAAATCTTTCTTTTTTTGATCTTTAAGCACAAGAGAAAAAAAAGAGAAAAGCAAGAGTAGACTACTGAGCTCATGTTCAGTTTACTTTAGTGTATCATAGAGGCTTCAACTGTCGTCAATCGCACTGTACATGACTGATTTTGTGCGTGGTGCGAAAGACCTCATGTTCACATACTTACTTCTCACCTTTTCAGACGCATAATTTGTTAAACATTTTAGAAAGCAAGTTTTGTTTATTATCGATGTTAAAAGAACCTGAAAGTACAGAACTTTTTAATACGTTCTTATCACTTTTTTTAGATGACTGAATTTGGAATTTGTGTAAAGAAATCGAAAAGTTATATTCATTATATGAAACCGTTGAGTCTCTCATTTTTGCCTGACCTCTATTGGCATTGAAAAATTTGGTGAAAAAGCTCCAGCTTTTTTGTTAACTTCTTTGCTTTTTCTTTTTGTCAAATATTTATTTCAATTGTAGGTAGAAATTCAAATCTACGATCAAAGTAGTAGTAATAACGTTGTGCAATTCACAAGTATTCCTTGACTCTGATAGTTTTTCTCACTACCGTGTTGCTCACTCTTAACATTTAGCTGTTAATGTATATTACGTTGCAAGAGTAAACAAGTGAGTAAATGGATAAATATTTAAACATATGTATAAGTTGATATATACATATACAAATATAATATTATGAATATTATATATGTAGTCATTCGTAACTTTTCAAGTTTTTATTGTAATACTCACCTACTAATCAACCAATAAACAAAAAACGCGATTGAAGCAGGTTGTGTTAAAGAACTGTATAGAAATTACAGGTTTTTTGCTGCTTAATTCCACTGACCCTTAAACCAGTTAAGATTCAGCTGCGCAGGCAATTACAAGACTTGTCTCTAGAAAAAGAAAGTGTAGTAGACTATTTTAAATATCAAAAGTAATTTTTAACTATTTTAACCTTTAAAAGAACCAGTTTTTTAGTACCAGAATAATGAGACCTTGTTTTTGCAGAAGTTGCAATTCTGGTTTTGAAATGTAGCCATTCAAGCTAAACACACAAACAAGGAACTCGTATGAGGTTGTATTCAAGTGTTCAAAGTTTGCAGAATCACGACTGTTAGTTTCATCTGACGCCGAAGACGACGGCAGATTAAAGAGTTGCTAAATTTAGCTGCCCTTGATGCCTAAAGCGTTGCTTAACTAAATACTACAAATCTGAAATAAATTTGTGCAGAATTTGCCAGATAGAGCCAAATTATACATTTTTCAAAGAAACGTTCTAGAAGCAGAGTATTTTAAGAGAACCCCTAACGGCGACTGACAATGCTAAGAAACTAGCAAACGATGATTGCAAAAATCTAAGATATCGAGAGTCGCACAGATGATAACATAAAACTTCGTAGAAAATAATTTGCTTCTAGTATAATCTGATAGTAGTGATAGTTAAGATTTCAATTGTTGAAGATGCGGTTTTGCAACTTCTGAAGCTATGATCTTTCAATCAACGGAAACTGCAGTCACTTAAGTCGCGGTTTTAGTGATTGTACTGATAACCGAGTTACCCTTATGCTTAATGTGTTGATCATTTTCTTTAAAATTTATTGTCTTTTCTCCAGTTTTCTTTTTATTCTTTTTTTGTCTTCTTTTTTTGACGTCTTTTTTTGTTGGCCCTTCTGGCCTTACCAATCTTCTTTTCTTTTCCATCGGTTAACTACAACAAAGAAGCAGAGTTTACGAAAATCTGCTGGCCTCTTTGATCGGCAGTTTAGAAACTATTAAAGGTCAAAAAAAAAACGTATTAATGACGTTATGACAAATTGACAACTTTTATTAGAGTA